AGTAATTCAACAGGAACACATTTTACGACAGCACCAGAAGTCTGACTGAATTTTTAACGTTTTGAAATAGTTTGTGACTTTTTGCATTTCATTTCTCCCAAGATAGAGGAAAGGGGAGGAGAGAGGGGCTATAATTTTACATGTTTGCTGTTTTGACAATTAGAACAATTCAGTTTCTATTACCAGAGCAGTATTGTTATGGGCCTTGCTTGTAATAAAACCTTCATACTAAATCTCTGTGCACTTTATGAATTTCACTACATCTTTACATAAAAAATCTTCAGATTCCTTTAATAATACCAGAAAATAGTTCCAGCTTTCTGCAGCTGCAAAAGTTTGCCCTCCCTAGAGATCTGCAATGGTGCAACTCATGCTTCCAATCAAAACAGTGACATAGTGGATATGATTTACAGTCTAGAGGGGTTTGATTGGGGAATAGTACACTACTGAGCAAATATTAAACTATAGCGAATTTTTAACGTGTAGTCCTTTCTATCTTTGCAACAAAACAAGCCAAAAACAATTTCCTGCCCAAAAGCTAAGGGAAATGGGAACTTGTATTTAAGGTTTCTTTTCCTCTGTTGTCGAGGTTTCAACCAGCAACTTTCACCCATAACTGAGACCGGCTCCTTAAATAACTTTAGCCTTATAATTTTAAATAGAAACCATCTGCACTTTTACACCAAAGGCAACGCAATACTTAGATTGTAACAAGGAACAATATTTATAAGGTCAGCCTCAGACTAAAACTGTCTCTCAGGTAGATCTGGCAGAGTTTTCCTAACTGAATTCCTGGGGATTAACTAATGAAGGGAGCAATCAGAAAAGTGAAAGATTTATTTTGAAAGCATCAATTTGGTATGAAGATGACATTTCAATTTCTGCATGCAAGCAGAATATCTTTGTAGGCTATTCTTTTCTGTCAGTACTAAGAGCATCAACTCTTTTGTGATTCCTTTCGGTTGTTTGCATTAGATTTGCCTAAAGAAGAGCAAATTTGGAAACTATGCACAAAGTCTTCATAAGTTTGATTGTCTAGAACTAAAAAAAGTTTAGAATGGTTTAGACTACAAGTCCGTACTCAAGAATGGCAATGTGTGAACAGTCTAATTTACCGTAATAATATTGCTTTCAGCTCTCAGTATCTTATAAAGTTTTAGCATCTTAATTTTGATAAGCGTTCCAACCTACTTTGTTTTTTGAATAGCTATCTAGCTACATACATTTGCACTTTGTGAAAGTGAACTCAGTTGTCTTTAACAAAATATATATGTACATAAAAAGAGCATAAATTGTGTATTTTAACATTGGCTTTATGGACTTCTGCCACTTTCATCTGACTGGAAAAGTGGAAAAATTGTAGCAGCCTAAAGGTCAATGTTACAAAACCGTCTCACTTACGTATTCATGCATGGCGATTTAAAAAAAATTGAAATGCTGTTAGCTATGAGAAAACCCACAATGATGCTGTAGTGATTCACCACTTGACAGAGATTTCAAGCCACAAATACAAACTGTACATGAAGTCTTTATGAATTGCAGAGTCTAACTATCAAGGGATATGTCTATTAGTGAAATATTAGCAATTGTCACTATTCTTCATTATAAAATTGCAGAGAAATATCCGGTGAAGAAAGAAGCAATATTGAAACTGTTAGTTGCAATTCTAAGTGTAAATATACGGTTAGAATCTAGTATTATCACATGTGTTACATATTAAGTAGAAAGCCTGGGGCTATTTGTCTGGTCTACATTTAATCTGAAGTTCCTTTTATTCTTTTTTCTAAGAAACTAATTTTTAAAAAGATTTTCAGATTTTCCACCTATTTTTCTAACTCTCATGAAGCAGAATCCAATTTCTCCTATATAATTATTTTTGTTTAGATTTTAGTTTTCAGAGATGAAGCAGTCCTTTCCCAGCCTAGATCATGAGTCTATTTCAGTTATACAGTTAAAAACACATCTGCATTTATGGAGTTAATTGTCATCTTATTAATTTTACTCAGACTTTTTTTTTTTTTTTTTTTTTTTTTTTAGAGAAGCCTAATGAAAACCATGTTTATATGCTCAAAGGCACAGAGGAAATTCATTACTCTGAGGAATAACACACTCCATAAGTTAAATGAAAGTAATCTTATTTATGACAGGAAGAGGCCTTCACTAGACTGAACTCCACCACACTTGGACTGATACTAGCAGTCTGAAAGAAGCTGCAAATTCAGGAACCAGTTTCAAATGGAAACCTCATCACAGCAATAAACACATTTGCAGTTTAGTTTTGAAAACATTCAAAATCCTTAGAAGAGGACATATCCTGCTGTTATAGTCACGAAGCAAATTTACCAAAATATGCATATCAGCTGAAAACAATAATAAAATGGTAAGAATGTAATCATTCCTTCCCCCACTTTAACATAAAGTGTTCCACAGGCTCCTTATGACAGTATTCACAATGACACATACCTGTGTTGACAGCCAAGCTTCCTCATTATCAGTTGGTCATTAGTACTCAGTCTAGTACCATTGCTGGGCATTGCTAGAATACCCAGTGTTCACTACTGCATTGTATACCGTCTTTGGAGTTAACTCATTTTACAATTTTATTTATTTTTAGGTGGGGGGAAGGGACTTGAACCTGTGATTGACTCTGTATGGGTGGACAATCAGTCTGCGGCCCAGCTGTGAACAACACGTTGCAGGACTGGGGCATTAATTTGTAAAATAAAACTGATTTTGAAAGTCTCAGGAGGCACATACCCTACTCTGTACAACTTTTAAACAGAAGAGCAAAAAGTCTCCCTCAAACAACATTACGCATTGATCTACCCAGCGCCACATTCGTAAGCCTAAAAATGAGAGGTGTCTGGCATCCGTTTGCATTTATATATGTTTTGACTAATTTTAGATGTCAAACAAATTCTATTGGGAAGAAGGGGAAAAAAAAAAAAAAAAGGAGAGTGCCGGAAGAGCTATTTCTACAACTACTTCTGAGGAATAAGATACAGTCTTTCTTCCAGAAGAAAACAGGAAATGGGATGCTCAGCACCTCTGAAAAATCAGATGCTATGCTGAGCGTTAAAATGTACATTAAAAATACTTCAAAACAGTAATTTTATTAATATGAAGTTGTAATGTGTGAGAGACCTCTTGGTGCATCTCTGTGTGCTTGCCACTGCTTGGTCTTTTAGCCATTTTGTCTGAGAAGAGAAAGAAAGGGGAAACAACATTTATACTACGCAGATTTCATTTAGCAGTAAGACATTTTGTCCACAAGGCGGCACTATGCGTTAATAAATAAAAGATGTGCTGATACGTTCTATGAGTTTATTGTCAGTTTTTGCATTCTTGCTGACTTCTGCTAAGGGCTCACCAAAAGAAGTGTGGGCTTATCTAACAACATGAAGGACAGCTGCCTTTGTTGATATGCAGACATTTGGCCAGTTCAAGTTTAGATGTTTAAGACAATTCCTTATACAAGGCTAAAAAGTTTAACTGTTGCTGTTGTGGACCTCCCGTCAAAGAGGTACTTTTACACTAGAGCAAACTTGAAAAATGAGAACATTTAGGTAGAGAAATGTATTTGGCTATACCTTTTCTATATTCCCTTTGCAAATATATCATGTGAGTGTCTGAATAGATGCTTTCTTCCCTTGTAAGCCAAGTTCTCCTTCTGCTTGATCCCACAGCAAGACTATAATCCTTTGTTTGCAACATCACAGCTGGTTGTCATGGAAATAAATGTGATGTCACAGATTTACCATTATGACCAGTACAGGACCAAATATAAATGGAATAGGTTGGTTGTTTTAAAAATAGCTTGTTAACGACTGAACATATCAGAGACATATATTTTGAAAAGGTATAGAAAATTATTAGAACAGACAAAAAAGAAATGGAGTTTTAAGTTTGAATGCTGGGAAGAATTTTCAGATCTTTCTTTAAATCTTATGTATTTGATTTTTACTGAAACCTTCTCAGTCTTTTTCATCGAGGCTTGAACTTGTTGATGGGGGAAGTGAGATTGAAAATCTCCTTCCCACTAGACCAGTGATTTAATTACTGATAGAGATGAGCAAGCGGTTCTAAGCAGATGTGATCAGTGGCAGTGATATTTTCCTTGGGCCATATCTTATACTTCCCTTTAAATAAGCATTGATGGGAAGGAGCAGCAACCTTACAAATATGGACATGAAGAGGTGGTCCCATCCTCTCAGACATCTGCACATCTCAAGTTGCTGGAAGCTGCATGGCATGGTCTAAAATTCCCACGTGAGACAGGGCAAAATGGATGGCATGGAGCAACAGTACATATGGAGACAGCATAGCCTTGCAAGATCTGCATTTGGGGATGATGGTGTGGTGAACTGGGAAATGCAGTGCCAGTAAATGTACCTACGCTACTAAAGGACAGGAGAAACTGCTGTCTCAGCCTCAGGAGCAGCATGATAGATAGCACCAGACACCCACTGAGATAGTGGAACTGCCGGACAAGCTTCAGACAGCCAAAAGATGTTCTGCAGAGAGATCTGCAGAGAGCTGCACTCCACCTTCCAGACTGAAAGTGCTCCGCCACCCCAGTGCTCTCATACAGCTCCAGTTTCACCCTGCTCGCGTTAAATGACTTCCATTGGCTCAGACACAGAGGGAGGGGTGGCTCTGCTTCCTTCCTTCCATGATTTTCAAACCTATTTGAACACTACTGTCAGATTTAAATCCACTCTGTGCTGTGCACACAGGCCCTTCTGTTCAGAACTGATAAAGAAATGGAGATTATACAGAATATTTTTCCAAATGTCTGCTTTGGAGGTTTTTAATCAGCATTTTCCACTATTTTCAGCTTTGTAAGAGTCAGTCTTGCTCTCTCTCACACACACTTTAATGTTAGGCACCTAAGATAAAATGCTGTAAAAGAAGACATTTCTAGGGAAAAAACCTGAATGTTAAAATAATCTCTAGCTCCTTGTAGTGAGAAGTGGCGTCCCACTGACCCAGAGGGGGAGGGGCCACTTGCAAAACCCTGGTGGGTGGAGCCAGGCCATGCTCACCCCACCCACCGGAAGTCAGTGGGAGGAACAGGAAGTACAGAACGCGGGTCTGCAAGCTCATTTGGGCTGCAGCTGCTGAAGGAGCCAGATGCCTCCTATCCACTCCTGAACTGGGAGACTGCTATGGATCCCTGCGGTGCTGAGGACTGGCTGACGCTGCTGGAGCCACACACTGACCAAGCTGAGGAGGAGCTGCTGGGACTGCCGCTGGCCTTCTAGCTGGATGATGCGGAGGACCCTGTACAGACCCAGGTACACGCTGAGGGGGAGAGAGGAAGTACCCCAGGGGAATTAGACACCATCTGGTTGAGAGCTGGCCTGTGACCAGGTCAGCATGTTGTGAGAGGATCCCCACTGACCCAGTGGCAGACCCCTCCACCACTGCTAAGGCCCTGGGCTAGGACACAGTGGAGTTGGGCAGGCCTGCGTCCTCCCTGCCACCCCACCCCTGGGGTGGCAGTACTCCCCTTCCATAGGCCAGAGGGCCTGCATCCGCCTACAGTCTGCTGAGTGAGGACACTAGGCTGTACTCCTGCCTGAGCCCCCCTAGACTCTGTTTGGGTGCTCTACCCTGGTCTAAGCCCAGAGGACTTGTTGCCTGCCCTGACTAAGGTCCTGGGCTCTGAAGTATTTGTTTGCCGCACAGCGTTGAGGGCAGGCCTGAGACTCAAACTCTGTACAACCCTGCCCTAAGAGCTTGGCTTACGAACTGTTTATTTGCTGTTTGCCCCTGAGTACAGGTCCAAGCCACTGACCCTTCACTGCCCTGATTGCTGGCTAGAGACTCTGATTGCCGATCGCTCTACCCAGACTGCTGACCAGAGCTATAGGCCGAGAGTGACTCAGCTGATTCCCCGCGAGCAACGCCCCGTTATATAGTAAGGCAGAGTGGCCTCCCTCTGACCCAGAGGGGGAGGGGCCACCACTAACTCATTACACTCCTACATAGCACTTTTCATCCATAGATCTCAAAAGTACTCTACAAAGAAGGGTCAGTGTCATTATCCCCATTTTACAGATGGGAAAACTGAGTCATGGCATGGGGAAATCACTTGTTCAAGGTCTCCTAGCAGGCCAGTTGGCAGAACCAGGAATTGAACCCAGGTCTCCTGAGTCCCTGTCCAGTGGCTATGAGATCCTAAATTTAGGACCTACACCTAGCACTGCTGTAACCTGTTCAATATCCAAACATGAAAGTGGACAATGGTCCCCAAATGAACACAAGAAGCTAGCCACAGGGAGATATCATCTACCCAGTGTATTCTCTCATTAAGGATATGTTTTGCAGCAGTTAGTCAAAAACATTTCTAAAACATTATTTTGCTAAATAATCTAGACAAACTTCAGGACCCAGGAGGGTCTATTTTAAAATAATGATGAATCCTCCCCTCAAAAACTGACAAGTTATATTCACGTAATATTATACAGATACAGCCAAGTAGCAGCTTAGGCCAAAATGTAGGTCTTGTAATAATGTATATTACAAAATCTAATCTTAGCATATCACATAAAATTACTACAAACAGATATTTGTATGTAAGTGTTCACCTGCAACATTCGTACCGCAAACACTACAGCAATATGGGTAGTCAAAGAGTGAAACTGAATATAAACAAACAAGTCTAGTTTTGCTTCTTGGGCTCCAATCCTGCTATTGGATTTGCATGGACAAACTCCTATACAGATCCAACTGTAGACTGAGGCCCAATTCTGTAAAAACTTTGGGGCAGGAACCTGTCAGGATCCTGACATGGGCAGTTAGGATCAAAGGTCAGAGCAGGGTCAATCCTGAGGCTGAGAATAGAGAAGAGTTTGTAGTCAAGTTCCAGGTCGGGGTGGAATCCAAGGATCAGAGTCAGAGTCAGGTTTCAGGGTCTGGCTCAACAGATGAGGTCAAAATCAAGCCGAGATCAAAGCCAGGAGTTCAAGAGCAGAGTTGGTCCTGGTCACAGGTGCTGGCTTCCTCCTTTCCCCAGGGCTGGGGCACCCAGAGTCGCTACCTATGATCCTGGTAGCTACAACACATCCACACTGTTGCCTGGAAACTTCCTGGAATACACGTTGGGTTTATATAGGGCAGGAGCCATGAAGCTACCGCCAGTCAGCCCCCTTGAGGCAGGACTTCCCGTGGTCTGTCTGTAGTGGGTTGTGGGTAGTGTTGCGTGAGCTGTCTACTGCAGCTGCTGGGTGGCACCATGGAGGTTTACTGCCTGCCAGCTCTGCAGGCCGAGGTTCAAGAGCTGTGGGGACTTACAGAACTGCATCTACCTTGATAGCCCTAATCCTCCAGAAAGTTCCATGTGGGCAGACCCTTATGCCTACATGGAGTCCCAGCAAAGTCAATGGGGCTCCATTAAGGTTCACTGACTTGCAGGATCTAGGTTTCAGTTTGTAGAGCACATTAGGCCCCTGGTCCCAATCAGGGCCTCTGGGTGCTACCTTCATATTAAATAAGACAACGTGTCTAAGCGCAGTGAAAGGTAAATCAGATTTTCAAATGTGTCCAGTTTTAGTAGAGTTAGCTCTTCCCGGTAACACAGGGAAGGATGTAGGCTTTTCAGTCTGTTGGGCTGGATTTTTGGCTCCTCATTTGCAGGGGAACTATCTGCCAGCGAAAACAGCCGAGGCAGCGCCACCACCCCCCTCCTCTGGTGAATGGGGAAGGAGAAGTCATGTCAGGAGTGTCTATGGGTAGGATGGGGCTTAAGCTCCACTCAGCTGCAGTCAAGAATCTGGCTCATTCACTTTTTTCTTAAACGTCCTTTTCAATGTTACTTCTAACTGCAAATTACAAATGCTTCAGAGGTTTCTGCCTCTGACTTCTCCAGCCACACAGAGCTCTCATCGGGCAATACCAGCCCAAGTCATTGACACCCTCTTGGGTAGCAATCAAATCGTTCATGCACCAGTAAAGACTTAATCCAGTCTGTGGCCAACAATTTGTATTCACAGTATTTTCTTTATAGCTAGACAGGCATTTCCTGAAAATAGAAACTCTACATTATCTATGCTTAAGATCATATATAAACTTCTCCAAGAATATCCTGGAAATATAACAAAACCGATGCCAGCCTGACCCTACTCATTAGCATGTACCGATAGCATATGTTCATAAAGAACTTGTAGACTGTATGTGTACAATCAAATTAACCTTTGGACTGCTGGCATTTGGAACATAATTTGGGTTTCCAAATGTATATACTGTGCTCTGCTCAGTGCTGTTACTACTACAGAAATAATATCCTCTAAAATAAAGTAGGCTGATAAGAGTTGAATGTTTCAACTTCTAAATCTAGTTCAACATTCTTCGATACTCAACACAAATGTGATTAAATTCTTTTGTGTAGCTATAATTATTTGTGTTTCCATTGAAATAACTGTTCATATTTGCAATCTTTACTAAGAAATGCCTCAGAATAACTTGGGCGGGAAGGCGAGAGCGGAGGAGGGAACAACTTGGTACCTTCCCAGTCATTGATTTAATGTAGATTAATGCAGTAGACTGAGTCATAGCATCCCTGCCCACATCTCTGCAGCTGGTTTCACACCCCTGCTAATTATTACTTGAATGGGATGTGCAGCTCAAAAGTTAAAAGTTCAGTCTCAGAAGCCTCCCTATAATTTTTATTGTCCTGCCAACCAAATAGGAGTGTCACCCCCTGTTTGGTGAGTTAAGATGAAGTATTAAAGTCACACAAGACAAGCATGGGCCATTGTCCATCTGAACCCAATCTTCGATGCCAGGAACTAGCATGCAATCTCCCTTCTATACATGGTCACCTCTAACATGTCTAATACTAGGCTGACACCAATTATTTCGAACCAGACCTCTCATTTTTGAGCAGGACTGGTTTCTAGGTGCTGTGCCCACATGTTAAAATGTTAAGTCAACACAAAGGCTATATATTAGTCTCATTTTTCCAGAAGTAATTATTTTAATGACACTATAAAGACTTTCAATAGATATGCCTGAAACAAAACATTTTCTAAAAAATGTTCAAGTGGCCTTGGGTGACGGTACGAAACAATCATTCATAACACCTGCAAAGTTAGGGCCATGTTTGGAGTAGGGAGGTGTAAATTCTACCTCTCTGCACCAGCAAAGGCCCCTGCTATTTTACAACAAAAAAACAAATCCAGACTCCAGCGAGAAACTGCTGAATTGGAATTCATTTGCAAATTGGATACAATTAACTTAGGCTTGAATAGAGACTGGGAGTGGCTTAGTCATTATGCAAGGTAGCCTATTTCCCCTTGTTTTTTCCTACCCCCCCCCCCCCGACGTTCTTGTTAAACCCAGGATTTGTGCTGGAAATGGCCCACCTTGATTATCATACACAATGTAAGGAGAGTGGTCACTTTGGATAAGCTATTACCAGCAGGAGAGTGAGTTTGTGTGGGGGTGTGTGTGTGTGTGTGAGAAAACCTGGATTTGTGCTGGAAATGGCCCACCTTGATTATCATACACATTGTAAGGAGAGTGGTCACTTTAGATAAGCTATTACCAGCAGGAGAGTGGGGTGGGAGGAGGTATTTTTTCATGCTTTGTGTGTGTATATAATAAGATCTTCTACACTTTCCACAGTATGCATCCAATGAAGTGAGCTGTAGCTCACGAAAGCTTATGCTCAAATAAATTAGTTAGTCTCTAAGGTGCCACAAGTCCTCCTTTTCTTTTTGCGAATACAGACTAACACAGCTGTTACTCTGAAACCTGCACCACAGAGAAATTCAACCTAAGCTGCTGCCTCCCTCAAGGATTCTGTCAGTTTCATTTTAGTTCTGTTTAGTTTTCAGCTGAGACTGAAGTTTACTCAGGAGCAGGTAAAAGTGCACTAGACATACTGAGTCAAATCCTGGGGTGATGTAACTTACACACCAGTAAATTGATATAACTTAAATGCAGAAGGGGATGGAAGTGTGGGCTTCTAGCTTGAAAACCACCCATCATGGCAGAGTAAGATTAAACAGAAGGAGGCTATTTCATCTTACAGCTTCTGATCTCCTAATGCTAGCTTTCCGTGCTCCAACCCCAGTTCAACTTCACCCTTTTGTTCCAGTGGTGTTGTGCCCACTTACAGACACACTTATTAGTGTGTAACTTACACTAGTCTTTACATAACCTCAGGATTTCGACCAATGTGTTTCGTGTGCTTTTACTGCTTCCTATATTAGGACATTACATTTTTAAAATGTCTGCCACACGTACAATATTGCCACAATGAGGAGATCATAGAATCATAGAATATCAGGGTTGGAAGGGACCTCAGGAGGTCATCTAGTCCAACCCCCTGCTCAAAGCAGGACCAATCCCCAATTAAATCATCCCAGCCGTGCTTTGTCAAGCCTGACCTTAAAAACTTCTAAGGAAGGAGATTCTACCACCTCCCTAGGTAACGAGATATTCCAATATTTCTCTGAAAAAATTTATGGTTTGCCATAGTGTCCAGCTTGCCAGGTGTCCAGGCTTGCCAGGTGTCCAGCTTTCAACCAGAACGGCTCCAGTCAGCACTGCAGATCGAGCCGTTAAAAGTCCGGTTGGTGTGGGACTGGCAGGCTCCCTACCTGGCTCCATGCAGCTCCCCGGAAGTGGTGACATGTCTCTCAGCTCCTTGACGGAGGGACGGCCAAGGGGGCTCCATGTGCTGCCCCTGCCCCAAGCGCCGGCTCAGCAGCTCCCATTGGCCGGGAACTGTGGCGTAGGAGCTGAGCAACTTGTTGTCGCTTGCGGGGAGCCATCCGAGGTGAGAACTGTCCAGAGCCAATCCCCTCTCCCTCACCCCAACCCACCACCCCGTCCTGCCCCCCGGCCCAGCCTGAGCCCCCTTCCACACCCAAACTCCCTCTGAGAGCCCACACCCTGAATCCCCTCCTGCACTCCAACCCCCGCCCCAGCTCAGAACCCCCTCCCACACTCTGAACCCCTCAGCCCCAGCCTGGAGCTCCCTCCTGCACCCCAAACCCCTCATTCCCAACCCCACAGCCTGCACCCCCACCCCCCCACACACACTCCAACCCCCTTCCCCAGCCCAGATCCCCATCCTGCACCCTAAAGCCCTCATTTCTGGCCCCAGCCCAGAGCCCATGCCCCCTCCCACTCTGAAACCCTTGGTCCCAGCCTGGCGACCCCTCCCAGACCCCAACCCCACCACAGATGCCCTCACCCCCTCCCGACTCCAATCCCCTGCCCCAGCCCAGTGAAAATGAGCAAGTGACAGAGAGAGGGGGATGGAGTGAGAGAGAGGGGCAGGGGGCCTTGGGAAAGAGGCGGGGCAAGTGAGTTTGGTTTTATCTCTTGACCAATAAATCTTAATTGCCACCTCTACAAAAGTGAAAGGCCTGCTTACTCTTTATGAATAAATTAAAATTACTGCGAAACAATGGTGGGAGTTTGCAGTATTTCCCATTCATTCAAACACTGAGCAGCACTTCCTTTAACAAACTGTATCAGCTGACAGAAAAACAAACGTTTCTGGACTCTTCAGTATTTTTATTTTTAGGGGAAGCAGTGTGGCTTAGTGAATTTGGACTCCCCAGAACTAGGTTCTATTCCTACCTCTGCTATGGCCTGCTGGGTGACTTTGGGCAAATCACTTCATCGCCCCTGCCTCAGTTTTCTCATCTGTAAAATGGGGATAATGATACCTCCTTTATAAAGTGCTTTGAGATCTACTGATGGAAACTGCTATATAAGATCTAGATATTTTTCAAAATATATTGATGATTTTTACAATTACTGCACAAGCAGAATTTGCATATTTTTTGCAAAATAAACTGCAGTTTTCCTTTTAGAAATTTTAAGGTCAGGCTAAGCATGTGGTGCTAAATATTCAACTTGTTTCAGTAATTATTTTAAAAATAGTGCCACAAACGTTTTGTTTCAACATACCCAAGTACAGTATAGCATTTAAGTTTAACATATTTAAAACAGATGGTAAATAATACTTTGTACTTCTCTTTCAAATAAGATTTTAGTCCTTTGCACGGAGTAAAATGTGTTTGGAGTAAAAAGTAGGGGATTTTTCTTTTTCAAAACAATGCATCACTGCTTGAATGTAGTGATAAGAATGTGATTTTAACCTAGGCATTTGGTGCTGTTTCAGAAACACACGGTGCGCGCACACACACAAGTTCTCAGTGCAAACTTGTGAGGCCTTGGGGGTAAATCCACAACGATTTGTTTTGAGGAAGACAGCTGTTTGCTAAAGCTTAAAAGAATGCAAACTTGGACTCAAATATCATAGCTAAATTCATGCTCACGTACTGTATGGCACAACTCGGAACACGTGCACAATTGATGTTTCTCATTTTGATGAAAATGAACATAAAACATTTTTGTAGAATAATATCTTGCTCCTTCAGTAAAAAACTCTTTCAATAGACGTCTTATTACTTCAAAACTATAATCTCTCTCCTTTTACATAAATCAGCACAATCTTGTTTTGCTAAAATAAAATAAACATTGCCAGGAGATGAAATGGATAGCCTGTTCTTTTGCAAGGCCTCCAGTCTTGGCACTGTGAACAATTAGATAGGAACCAAGTGACACCTTTTGGATAATGGTGCCAAGTCAGCAGATGGAACACATTACAGAACTGGGACAATTCTGTTTAAACAATTGAATGCCAGGATCCCAGGATACCAAATAAAGAGAGGTTAAAGGACAATGCATTAGAAAACATGAATGCTAATGCCACTAGAGATGCTGTTGAGTTTTTCATTTCAAAGCAATTTTGGTGGCTGCTGGAAACCCTCCTCACACTTAACGCTTTTGATACATGTTGTCCGCTGATCATTCCAAAGGATGTCGGGAGTCTGAGTGGATTGCAGAAAAAGATAATGATGGACTAACGTGCTTCACAAAGAAAGTGAAGCAGAAAAGATGATATTTAATCACTGGGCCCAATGCAGTGAGCATTCCCAACTCCTATGGATTTCAATGGCAAATGAGGATGCTCAGAGGCAAGATCAGATCCCACAGGAGGGATTAAATTTATTTCTTTTTGTTGAGCAGTCTCAGGCATTAAAAGATGGCTTCTCTCTGCTTTAATGTCCCAATCAGTCCAATAGGGATAGTTTAAGCTTTCCAAATATCCTATTTCTGATTTAATTTAATCTCTCATCTTCTCCTTCCAGTAACTGATCTGAATGGGAGTAGTACCTAACATCAGCCAAGCTACAATGTTCCATAATTTAGGCAGGAAAGGGTGGAACCATGTATTTTCCCCCAAGAATAATGTAGTCAGAGCCACTTTCCTACCAAAGCTAGTTAAAATCTCTTGACTAGTCCTGGACAACATTTTCTGGCTGAAACTGTTTTCTGTGAGAAATATAGATATGGTGACACTGAAATGTCTTGCGAGCTCATGCTGGTTTCACCAAATACCACTGATAAAAAGAAAAACTTAAAACAATTTCAGAAAAAAATAGTGTCTCACTTCTACATTTTGTAAACAAAATATTGGGTTTTTTTGGTTCAAAATAATTTGGTTCAAAATTGGCTTTAATTTTATTAAAACAGTAAAAAAATGTTCAAAATCAAAACAGGACGTTTTGATTTTGTGAAAGAGAAATGTTTGACCCCAAATGATATTTTTTGGCTTTTCAATTCCCTGAAAATGTAAAATAAAAATACGAAACAAATATTTTTGGTTTGACCTGAAATGAATTTTTCAGAATTGCCAGAAAACCAAAAAGTCATTGGTCCACTAGTCCAGGGGAGTGTGAGTCTGAAGGTCCCCAGAGTGAAGCCATGATGCTGCTGCTGCTGAGTCCTAACCTGGCAGTTTTCAATAACAATCATTTAGATTCTAACTACTGTAATGATTACTAATACAACTTCTTACAGCAGTTGAAATTAGTCATTTAAAAAAAGGTTTTGTTCGAAACATTATAAAGAGCTTAACAATGGGAAGTTTTTAGATGACAAGGTAATGTTTGAAATGTTCTCAAAGCAATTCAAAACTACTCTGAAGCTGGTTTGGAACATAAACTCCTCCATCAGGCAATGGGAATGAAAGCTGAGTCCCTGAAAACACTCCAGTTGGTTCAGAATGCAGCAGTCTGCCTGATCTGGGTTCTGCTCTTCATCTGCACAGCCTTCCATGTCTTGGGCCTGGGCTATCTCCAGGACTTGCTTCTCCCTATGAGCTCAGGCATTACCATGAAAATGGTGGAACTGCACTCACCAGGAGCTAAGGAACTGGCTGTTCTTAGGGTGAAGCTCACATTGTAGGCTACAGGGCATTCTCAGCAGCTCCACAATGGCTGTAGGACTCTAAGGGTGATAATCACCAGAGATCTTCCCCCAGCCAGGATGAAATGCAAAACCCATCTTTTCAACCTAGATATCTCCCCAAATCAAAACTAAGACACCATAAGGAATATAAACCTTACTCGCTGAAATCTTAATACTTGAGACATGTTTTGTTGCTTGTTTACTTTATATAATTTCTATCAGGCAATCAGATATAACAGTACAAACGCTCACAGAGATAGACAGACATTGCTGGCTAGTTTGTACATGTGCATAATAAAAAAAACAAGCAGAGCAATGGAAACCTTCTGTTTTCAGGGCTCGCCAGAAATAAACCAATCCTAATGGCAATATTTCCAAATCCCCATGAATCCCACAGATTTTTAGTTTACTGGACATTTCTGGTGCTGCTGTAATGAACCTAAGTTTTGAAGTTTGACATTTCAACAACAACAACAAACACTTATCCTCATTCTTATTAACCAAATATCTAGATGAGTTGATGTACCCCCTGGAAGACCTCTGCGTACTCCTGGTTGAGAACCACATACCTAGGTATTTGCCTAGTTTTACAACAGGCTACATAAAACATACTAGTGAAGTCAATACAAACTAAAATTTCATACAATGACTTGTTTATACTGCTCTGTATACTATATACTGAAATGTAAGTACAATATTTATATTCCAGTTGATTTATTTTATAATTATATGGTAACAATAAGAAAGTAAGCAATTTTTCAATAATAGTGTGTTGTGATACTGTTGCATTTTTATTTCTGATTTTGTAAGCAAATAGTTTTTTTTAAGTGAGGTGAAATTTGGGGGGTATACAAGACAAATCAGACTCCTGAAAGGGGTACAGTAGTCTGGAAAAGTTGAGAGCCACTGTTCTAAGCAACACAAGTGACTAAAAATGAGAAGCTGTAAGTCCAGCGGATACTGTGTAGCAATATGGAACATATTCAAATCTACAGTGTCCCGGAAAGCCTCATCAACATATCTCTCTGCTTCCCTTAGCTCCTCCAGTTCTGCCACCCTGGCCTCCAAAGCCCGTACACGGTCTCTGAGGGCCAGGAGCTCCTTGCACCGAATGCACACATACACCACCCACTCACAGGGCAGGTAATCATACATGCTACACCGAGTGCAATAAACAGGATAGCCCCCACTCTGTTGCTAGGCTTTTGCCTGCATTTTCTCCTGCAGCTACCTAGATTAATGATAGGGTTTTTGTTTAAATCAAGAAGTTTTGATTATAATTTAAAGGTTTTAAAGAATGACAAGTGTACCTCGCCCCCCTCCCACTCCCTTTCCAAACTCCCTCTCAAAACTCCCTTTTAGCGGTCCCTGTTCGCAAAGCTTATGTTCTTATATTAAAGGGCCTAAAATAATGATTGAAATTATTAATTGGAGAAAGAGTGTAACAGGCTGGCAGTGTTATCTGAAACACCTAGTCCTAATCGCTGGTGTTGATCCTGTTGGGGAATATTAAATATGTTCCACTGAGTCAGTGTTGCAGGTGCCTCAGTACCCTACCCATATATAAGGGAGGCAGGAGAAGCTCTCATGAGAGAGAGAGGATATAATGTGTGGACTGAGAAATCCTGAAGGAGGAATTCTAAGAACATCCAGGCCTGAGAAGAAGATCTGAGCTAACCTTTATGTTAGCTTGCAATTAATGTAGGTACCAGTAAAACCAAATCCAGGAAAGGGGAGAGTTTGGACTCTACATATTATGTGGACTGTGTTTGAGAGCAGTTTGGAAATGGCACCAGTTCACATATGGTGGAATTTTTTTAAAACCATTCTGCAAAGGAGGTATCAGAAGGGCAAGTGGCAGAGATCTGAGGTGGATGATGGAACAGCAGGCCCAACATCAGCAGCAGATCTTGAAGGAAGGAACCACAGCTCAACAGGAACAGCGGGCACAGCTACCGGAGCAGATGTTCCGAGCTTCTTAGTCCAGGGATACCACCTAGATTAGTAGTAAGAGTGTCTAAGGGTATGCTTACACCACACATGACAGTCACACCTTCGTTTGTGGTGTAGATGTACCCTAAGCAGGGACGAGACGATGACCCTGAGTCTTTCCCTGTCACCTTTCAGTGGGCAGCCAAGGCCACTTAGAGAGAGGAAGAGCCTTGGGCCATTTACTTAGCTACTTTTCATTAACAGGAGAGGCCCAAGCAGCACATTGGGCTGTGGGCAAGGACACTGCCACCAAGGCCATCAAATCTACCATTTTGGACTGGTTGGGAATCTCAAGAGAAAAGTACTGGCAACAGTTATAGAGGTTCCATTCCCCCTTAGGCCTATGATTGGACATTTCTGCCCAGAGGCTGATTGAATGGATGACTCTCTGGCTCAAGTCTTAATCTCAGACAGTGAGAGAATGGAGCTATTTAGTTATCCTAGACCCGTTTCTAGACAGTCTGACTAGGAGGGCAGACTGGTACATCAGTACCAGCTGTCTATGCCAGCAGAAGTTGCGTGACACACAGAGGCTACATGCACAATGAGATGCCAAAGGGACTGCAATGTCTGGGCAGTAGCTACGGCCATGAAGGACTGAGAAACAAGCAGAGAGAAAACAAAGGGATTCAGGGACTCCAACAGGAGCCAGAAAGGACATTCACCCAATCTTTGAGCTGCAGTCAGAATCTCCTATGGCTGAGTTTAAAAAGTCAAACCCCAGGGAGGACAAGTTTGGCTCTCCCTAGTGTGTGGACTGTGTTTGAGAGCAGACTAGGATGGCACCTGGTCACACAGCTATCAGGGAGCAAGTGGAAAACCTGGATGGAAGAAAGGCAATAAAATGATATCCACAGCTCTTCTTTCTGTCATTTATATCACCTGGTCTTCTGCAGCTATGAAATGTGATGATTACTCGGATGCTTAGTTAAGAGCACCCTAGGGACCAATCCTGCTTCCAAAAAAGTAGGGAAAAAACTCCCATTGAGTTAAATAGGAACAGGAGCAGCAGCCTTGTTGATCATACACTACAAGTAGTTTAAATTGTTTGAAGTGGATGAACAGTAGTTTTCTCTCCAACTTTGGTTTGTTTTCTATTTTATCGTTGCAAGGGAATTTTCATGAAAGTTATTGTGTAAAATAGTCATTTGCCAATGGGGAGAATTTTTCATTTCCCTCTTAAAAGACAATAAAAAACAGCCTCTTTACTTTGTGGACTTATTTATTTTACCTTTATTTATTTATTTATTTTTACACTTACATAATTCACGCTTCCCTCTGGCTACATTATGACACAAAGTAACCAATTGTTGTCTTTGATTTATAGTATATTTTAGACTTTGGAAACAGAGGTGTTTACAATCCTGAATACTATACATTCTAAACAATGGTTACGCAGCCACTATTGTTTTATATTGGCATGTTTATAACAAGTTGGGAGCTATATTCCCTGGTGGAGGTGATGATCTAACTGTGAAGCAAAATTAAATTAGGGCAAGAAGTGCTGGGAATGTTTGCTTGTGTCTGTGTCAAGAACTGTTGCAATCAGATCTCACATTTCATGGATATGGTCGATGCCAGATCAGTTTACACAAGGGATGTCAAAGACACCTAATAAAATAGTATTTTTAAATGAAAGTCTTTTATTTGATTGCTCTGAAGAGTTTTTGTAGAGTTCTTATAGGAGAGACTTTCTGGAAAATATGATTCCACACAATCTCTTATTTAAAATAAACCTATCGCCAAATCTGAAAATATTTTACTTCTTCATGGAAAAATATGCACTATCTGCCTTTTACTGCACTCATCACATCCCACACTGTTCATAAGGATCTTCCAGATATTATATTCAAAGATTTTTTAAAAATCTCTGTACTTTAATACTACCCAAAAGAAAAATATTGAGAATTCTGTCTCTCTATTCTGTACATCTGCAGTAAATTTAGTGGCCAAGATAGCTGGCTTCTAAGTCCTTATTTAGGCACCTAAATAAACAGTAGAAGTTTATGGGTGCTCAACACTTTTGGAAATTAGGTTACTCAGTTCTAATATTTCTCCTACATTTTGAAAAAGAGACTTCCCTCTCCCACCCCAACTATGCATTAAAAATCGCTGTCCCTGCTTGAGAACTGTTGTGCTATGTTTTTTGTCAAAGACAAAGGTAACAGACAAGGTATAAACCTGGGGAAAGAAAGCAGATTTACAGTAGGAATAAGTCAGAGTTAAGGTTCCCTTCAAAGAAATCCAAAAATGTTAAGGCACAAAATGCACAGTTAAGATACTCCAACAATCTTTAATTCTGCATGATGTCATTTGATAAGTATGTAGTTAGAGTTAAGGTATTTTAGTGTTTGTGATCCCAGATTAGTTTAAACTCTTTTGTAAAGATTTGTTTGTCCCCTTCTCCCTTACCTCTCACTGTGTCACTACCAGGAAGAGTTAAGGTTGTCTGAGAGCCTCAGCTGTGCATCTTACCTGAATATGTCTGGATTTCTTTAAAGCATAAATTTAATTCTGAATTTCTTGAGTTTATTAGGCTTGATTTTGAGATAATTACACTATCCCTGTAATATTTTTTCTTCTTAAATTACTGATATGAACACTCAACCTCAAGTCCATTTTACCATAGTTTTAGCCTGAGAATTCCCTTAGTCTTTAAAATTATTAAGAAGTTCACACACAAACACTAAACAAGATAGATATGAATAATCTTAAATCATTTGTTTAAAATTAACTGTTAAGGGCAGATTCACTGGTACATCAAAGCACCATAAAGTAGCCAGAGTGCACTGGCCACTTCAACTATTTTTACAGTTGCTTGGTAGCACCAGTACAGGCGAACCCGGCCCTTAATTTGCAGACAATTTATTGGTTTCGAGGGCTATGTTTGTGAGATTGGTACTAAAGTGATGGGGGAGGTAGGGAGGGCCCAGTCCCTAGGTCCCAATGTCCCTGTGATTTAAGGGATCCCCTGTGCTCCTGACTCAGTTCCCCCAACAGTGTTGCCATGAGCGCCTAGGCAGGGCAACTAAACCCTATGTAGTCCTCTGTCTTGAATCCCCCTCCCCCAGCACCAAGTGCACAGGAAGGAGAGAAGGGAAAGGAGAATGGGGGCGGGGCACGGGGGAGGACAGAAAGGAGAAATGCAGCGGTAGGTATTTCTGTTGTGTTTGCACCTTTTCATGCGCTTTTATTTGTTTTGTAAATGTTCTTTTATAACTGGTGTTTGAGTGTTGTAATGACAGTTGATCTGCTTGGCAATGGGTTACTGCTGTACTGTTTAAACATGTTTACAAATAAAGTTTTTTATGTCATTGAGAGTTTATTGCTATCACTGCATCTCATCATGCAATCAGTATTTGAAATAATAAAGCTAAGCATATGATCAGGAACAGTTAGGAATTAGTAAGCACACACTATTCCTCTATACCGGGGTGGGCAAAGTTTTTGGCCCGAGGGCCACATCTGGGTGGGGAAATTGTATGCAGGGCCATGAATGTAGGGCTGGGGCAGGGGGCTGGGGTGTGGGGGGGGGCGGTGTGCAGGAAGGGGCTCAGGGCAAGGGGTTGGGGTGCAGAAGGGGTGTGGGGTGCAGGAGGCATGCAGCAGGGGGTTGAGGGCTCAGGGCAAGGGGTTGGAGTGCAGGAGGGGGGCTCAGGGTAGGGGGTTTGAATCATAGAATCTTAGACTTTAAGGTCAGAAGGCACCATTATGATCATCTAGTCTGATCTTCATATGATCATCTTCATAAATGATCTGGAGGATGGTGTGGATTGCACTCTCAGCAAATTTGCGGATGATACTAAACTGGGAGGAGTGGTAGATACGCTGGAGGGGAGGGATAGGATACAGAAAGACCTAGACAAATTGGAGGATTGGGCCAAAAGAAATCTGATGAGGTTCAATAAGGATAAGTGCAGGGTCCTGCACTTAGGACGGAAGAACCCAATGCACAGTACAGACTAGGGACCGAATGGCTAGGCAGCAGTTCTGCGGAAAAGGACCTAGGGGTGACAGTGGACGAGAAGCTGGATATGAGTCAGCAGTGTGCCCTTGTTGCCAAGAAGGCCAATGGCATTTTGGGATGTATAAGTAGGGGCATAGCGAGCAGATCGAGGGACGTGATCGTTCCCCTCTATTCGACATTGGTGAGGCCTCATCTGGAGTACTGTGTCCAGTTTTGGGCCCCACACTTCAAGAAGGATGTGGATAAATTGGAGAGAGTCCAGCGAAGGGCAACAAAAATGATTAGGGGACTGGAACACATGAGTTATGAGGAGAGGCTGAGGGAGCTGGGACTGTTTAGCCTGCAGAAGAGAAGAATGAGGGGGGATTTGATAGCTGCTTTCAACTACCTGAAAGGGGGTTCCAAAGAGGATGGCTCTAGACTGTTCTCAATGGTAGCAGATGACAGAACGAGGAGTAATGGTCTCAAGTTGCAGTGGGGGAGGTTTAGATTGGATATTAGGAAAAACTTTTTCACTAAGAGGGTGGTGAAACACTGGAATGCGTTACCTAGGGAGGTGGTAGAATCTCCTTCCTTAGAGGTTTTTAAGGTCAGGCTTGACAAAGCCCTGGCTGGGATGATTTAACTGGGAATTGGTCCTGCTTTGAGCAGGGGGTTGGACTAGATGACCTTCTGGGGTCCCTTCCAACCCTGATATTCTATGATTCTATGATCTCCTGCACAACGCAGGCCACGGAATCTCACCCACCAATGTCCTGTAACAAACCCCTAACATATGTCTGAGCTATTAAAGTTCTCAAATCGTGGTTTAAAGACTTCAGGGTGCAGAGAATCCTCCAGCAAGTGACCCGTGCCCCATGCTGCTGAGGAAGGTGAAAACCCCCCAGGGTCTCTGCCAATCTGCCCTGGGGGAAAATTCCTTCCTGACCCCAAATATGGCTATCAGCTAAACCCGGAGCATGTGGGCAAGACTCACCAGCCAGACACCCAGGAAAGAATTCTCTGTTGTAACTCAGATCCCACCCCATCTAACATCCCATCACAGGCCATTGGGAATATCTACCACAAGTAGGCAAAGATCAATTAATTGCCAAAATTAGGCTATCCCATCATATCATCTCCTCCATAAACTTATCAAGCTTTGTCTTGAAGCCAGATATGTCTTTTGCCCTCACTGCTTCCCTTGGTAGGCTCTTCCAGAACTTCACTCCTCTGATGGTTAGAAACCTTCATCTAATTTCAAGTCTAAACTTCCCGATGGCCAGTTTATATCCATTTGTTCTTGTGTCCACATTGGTACTGAGCTTAAATAAGTCTTCTCTCTCCATGGTATTTATCCCTCTGGTATATTTATAGAGAGCAATCACATCTCCTCTCAGCCTTCTTTTAGTTAGGCTAAACAAGCCAAGCTCATTGAATCTCCTTTCATAAGACAGATTTTCCAGTCCTCGGATCATCCTGGTAACCCTTCTCTGTACCTGTTCCAGTTTGAATTCATCTTTCTTAAACATGGGAGACCAGAACTGCACACAATATTCCATATGAAGTCTCACCAGTGCCTTGTATAACGGTACTAACACCTCCTTATCTCTACTGGAAATATGTCACCTGATGCATCCCAAGACCACATTAGCTTTTTTCACAGCCATATCATATTGGTGGCCCATAATCATCCTGTGATCAACCAATACTCCGAGGTCCTTCTCCTCCTCTGTTACTTCCAAGTAATGCATCCTCAGTTTATAACAGAAATTCTTGTTATTAATCCCTAAATGCATGACCTTGCACTTTTCACTATTAAATTTCATCCTACCTATTACTATTACTCCCATTTACAAGGTCATCCAGATCTTCCAACATTCCACACAAAGATGGAACAAGCCATCAGGAACAGTATCCCCAATAATGTCACGGCAAACCTGGTGGCTGAACTTTGTGACTTTGTCCTCACCCATAACTATTTCACATTTGGGGATAATGTATATCTTCAAATCAGTGGCACTGCTAAGGGTACCCACATGGCCCCACAGTATGCCAACATTTTTATGGCTGACTTAGAACAACGCTTCCTCAGCTCTCGTCCCCTAATGCCCCTACTCTACTTGCGCTACATTGATGACATCTTCATCATCTGGACCCATGGAAAAGAAGCCCTTCAGGAATTCCACCAAGATTTCAACAATTTCCATCCCACCGTCAACCTCAGCCTGGACCAGTCCACACAAGAGAGCCACTTCCTGGACACTACAGTGCTAATAAGCGACGGTCACACAAACACCACCCTATACCGGAAACCTACTGACCGCTATACTTACCTACATGCCTCCAGCTTTCATCCAGACCACACCACACGAATCATTGTCTACAGCCAAGCTCTACGATACAACGCATTTGCTCCAACCCTTCAGACAGAGACAAACACCTACAAGATCTCTATCAAGCATTCTCACAACTACGATACTCACCTGCGGAAGTGAAGAAACAGATTGACAGAGCCAGAAGAGTACCCAGAAGTTACCAACTACAAGACAGGCCCAACAAAGAAAATAAAAGAACGCCACTAGCCATCACCTTCAGCCCCCAACTAAAACGTCTCCAACACATCATCAAGGATCTACAATCTAAATTGAAGGATGACGCATCACTCTCACAGCTCTTGGGAGACAGGCCAGTAATTGCTTACAGACAGCCCCCCAACCTGAAGCAAATATGCACCCGCAAACACACACCACACAACAAAAACACTAATCCAGGAACCTATCCTTGCAAAAAAGCCCGTTGCCTACTGTGTCCACATATCTATTCAGGGGACACCATCATAGGGCCTAATCACATCAGCCACACTATCAGAGGCTCATTCACCTGCACATCTACCAATGTGATATATGCCATCATGTGCCAGCAATGCCCCTCTGCCATGTACTTTGGCCAAACTGAACAGTCTCTACGTAAAAGAATAAATGGACACAAATCAGACGTCAAGAATTATAACATTCAAAAACCAGTCGGAGAACACTTCAATCTCTTTGGTCACTCGATTACAGACCTAAAAGTGGCAAATGTTCAACAAAAAATATTCAAAAACAGACTCCAACGAGAGACTGCTGAATTGGAATTAATTTGCAAACTGGATACAATTAACTTAGGCTTGAATAAAGACTGGGAGTGGATGTGTCATTACACAAAGTAAAACTATTTCCCCTTGTTTATTTCCCCCCCCTACTGTTCTTGTCAACTGCTGGAAAAGTCCCACCTTGATTATCACTACAAAAGGTTCCCTTCCTTCCCCCCCCCACTCTCCTGCTGGTAATAGCTCACCTTACCTGATCACTCTTGTTACAATCTGTATGGTAACACCCACTGTTTCATGTTCTCTGTGTATATAAAATCTCCCCACTGTATGCATCCGATGAAGTGAGCTGTAGCTCACGAAAGCTTATGCTCAAATAAATTTGTTAGTCTCTAAGGTGCCACAAGTACTCCTTTTCTTTTTCCAGATCTTCCTGTATGATATCTCAGTCCTTCTCTGTATTGGCAATACCTCACAGCTTTGTGTCATCCGCAAACTTTATTAGCACATTCCCACTTTTTGTGCCAAGGTCAGTAATAAAAAGATGAAATAAGATTGGTCCCCAAACTCCCGATCCCTGAGGAACTCCACTGGTAACCTTCTTCCAGTCTGATAGTTCGCCTTTCAGTGTGACCCGCTGTAGTCTCCCCTTTAACCAGTTCCTTATCCACCTTTCAATTTTCATATGGACCCCCATCTTTTCCAATTTAGCTAATAATTCTCCATGTGGAACTGTATCAAATGCCTTACTGAAATTGAGGAAATTAGATCCACTGCATTCCCTTTGTCTAAAAAAATCTGTTACCTTCTCAAAGAAGGAGATCAGGTTGGTTTGACACGATCTACCTTTTGTAAAGCCATGTTGTATTTTGTCCCATTTACCATTGACCTCAATGTCCTTAACTACTTTCTTCGTCAAAATTTTTTCCAAGACCTTGTATACTACAGATGTAAAACTAACAGGCCTGTAGTTACCCGGATCACTTTTTTTACCTTTCTTAAAAATAGGAACTATGTTAGCAATTCTCCAGTCGTACAGTACAACCCCTGAGTTTACAGATTGATTAAAAATTCTTGCTAACAGGCTTGCAATTTCATGTGCCAGTTCCTTTAATATTCTTGGATGAAGATTATCTGGGCCCCCCGATTTAGTCCCATTAAACTGTTCGAGTTTGGATTCTACCTCGGATGTGTTAATATCTACCTCCATATCCTCATTCCCATTTGCTATCCTACCATTATCCCTAAGCTCCTCATTAGCCTCGTTAAAGACGGAGGCAAAG